GAGGAAGCATTTATAAAATGATTCATTGACATGCTACACAAGGTCTCTAGAAAGCTATTCTGGCATATTAAAAAGGTAAAATACTACATTTATTTTACACCGATTACTTAAATTATAAAAGGGTTCTTTTTATCCCCAAATTTAGAGCAAAAGCATCCAGCAGCAATAACCTTCCCATTCAAATATATCTAATTTTGCTTATGTACTCAAAACATGCTTGATCTCATCCATCATACCCACACATATTGACTGTTGCACGTTCTTTACTGTACCTCTTGAGTCACAGTCCTTCAGCAATCTTCAAATAGTGCTGTCAGCTATTTGAAAAATACTAATTCCAGCAAATATAGAAAGGAGGGATGATGTTGTATCCAGGCAGACTTCACTTTCCAGCTCTGGACATTGGATGTCTGAAGGTAAAATGTTTTTTTACACAGAGTTCACTGGTACTATTTAGGGAGTTCTAGCTGTTACAGGGGATAAGGAAGCAATAAGTCGCTTACACAGGCCCTATGCACAGGTATTGTTAAATGGGATAGCAAGGGAAATAAAAGGGTCACTTTAGGATTACCTGAGATACTTGAAATAGTAAGTGTTCAACATCATGCCCATAAACAGTCCAAATGACTGAATTTTCCCCACCTTTCTATATTTTCTTCAAAAAAAAAACAAAAGCAGGAAAGTCAAAAGAAGTGTGCTACTTTAAAGCAGAGCTTCAGTCAAACTAAAAAGTCAGCAGCTACAAAAACTAGCTGCTGATATTTAAAGAAACAGGTCCTCCTCTCTACCTGATGCTGGCAGTGTGAGAACCCGGCTGTAACAGCATGTGGATTCACAGCCAGGTGCCCCCTGCAGGGGGGTTGCTGAGCGATGGGCGGGAGGACAACTTCCACTTCAGATCACCTAGGTGGTCACAGTGGAAGTTTGAGTGGGTAACTGCCAAAATCGGGTACCTGCTTCCCAAAGGTGCAAATCCTTAACAGGGAGCAGGGGACGAGGCCTTAAAGTGGAACTTCCCCTCCTGGAAGGAGCGCCTCTTTAACATGAACCAGTTTTTAAACATGGAAGGCAAAGCAACAGGTTCGCTTGTTCCCACAGCAGCTACTGTTTACCTTTTTACCCACTTCTCCGCCATTCTGTTGCAAGGAGAAATTACAGATGGATTCCAGTCAGAGCTTACATATGGTTGAGGACTGTCAATCTGATCCCCATGTGACAGTGCTTTTTCAGTCACCAAGCACTAGGACTGTCACAAGGGAGGAAGGGCGTAAGTAATACAATCCCAATACTGGTAGATAAAAAGGCAAACAAGTGGCAGTGAAATGGAGTGAAGATGAGTAAATGCATGGGGGGGAAAGAAGGTTGGGGGTACTAAGTATTTAAAGGGAATATTTTCTGTTTTGTATGGGCAAAGCAGGAGTTCACAGTAGCAAGGAGCTGGTTCTAACTATCCCCCTGCCTAGGAAGAGTTTAAATAAAAGCAGTATTATATGACTGTGATAGCCAAAAGAAATGGTCTGACAAATGGTTCATCCTACATACCTTCATTGGAAACAGTGTCACTTCCACTAAGCTACTAAAGTCTGCCACATACACCCAATCTAAATACTGGATTACCACTATGCATAGGCAAAGTTATTGGACTTTTCATACCCCTTTGCTATATAGGGGACAACCCACTTAGCTTTGTCCCCATAAGGGACAGCAGGATTCTGGTGCCACTGATTAATGCTGCTTCAAACTACATACACACAAAAAAAAAAAATTATATACATATATATATATATATATTTTTTTTTTTTTTTTCTTCCAATGCAGCACTGCACGGGTCAAGTGCCGGTTTTGTCTAGGGTCGTGAAAACTTATACTCAATCCTTTTTTGCTCCGGAAAACAGAGCTCCTCCATGGTCCAGCAGTGGTGCACAACTCAGGACCAATGGAGACGGGGGTGCCAGACAGATCTTGTGCTGGGAGGATCATTGGATTAGGCAAGCAAACCTCCTTTCTCCTCTCCCTTAGACAAAAACGAGCAGTTAACATGTGCAGTGTTGGCACAGCCCCACTGCATGAGAAACTTTTTACCTCCCAGATATAGGCTTTAAACTGAATGGTTATCATATAAAATATATTATTTTGCACCAGTGTTACCAGCAACCACTAACATTGTATGTTCTAAACAACTGGAGCTTTAAAGGAATGTATTTGACTGCACAGTGCTTGTACCAAAAATTACTAATGACATCAATGCTCCAAAAAAACAAATGTAAACATATTTAATGAAAGGAAATATTATGTCCTGTTTGTCAGGGTTGATCTACTGAGTTATACAATGAGCATTCATCCAACAAAGTAGGAAAAAAAATTAAATAAAATGAAATAAACCAAAGTCAAAAGAATCATTCATCCTGACAAGGCAGGAGGGTTTAGTGGGCCAAGTCATCTCATGGCTTAGTTTATTTCTTGGGTACTACATGCTACCTCTTCCTATATTCCTCAAACCACTCCTCTTGTGGAATTCTTCATAACAGGAAGCAGCCACCTAATAACGGCCATGTCAAATTTACACCTGTATGGTGTGTTAACACAACATGTATCAATGCATGTGCATTAAGTCAGTCCATATATATTGAATGGGCTACCAATGTACCCTGGCATGTCCAAAATCAAGATTTTCTGGTAACACAATTCAAGGCAACCACTATTGTGCGTTGCACAGTGCTACAATGCTAGTGCATTGGGGAAGATGCGTTGAGATTCCATTCAAAATGACCACAGCAAAAAGTGTGATTCAGCCCTCAAAACAAAATTAAAGTCACACAAATGGATATGCAGTCTGACATATACTGTACCAACACAACCTCTTTTTTCATAATCTTAAGCTGGCCATAGATGGGTCAGTTTTCTTCCTTCAACCTGAGGGTGACCAGACTCCCTCATCCACACACTCGATGTGGATGGGGGACTCACTGCCGCTGAGCTATTGTGGTCAGAATACACTAATCAGCTCTACCAGCTATACCCTTCAGCAATAATCAATTGTCATGTATCCAACAGGTTGGTTGCACAGAAGTTAATAGGTAAATCAATTTCTATGCAACCAGGGTGCTCATACATGGATCGAAATTCAAGTATGGCTGCCTTTACCTTCATTTTCCAGTTACAGCAGTGTTGCAGAGTGAGAGTAAATACAACTGCACAGTCCAAAAGGCATTACAGTTAGACTCAGTGCTCTCTGTAATCAGCTCCCAGTAACCAAGCTGGCCTCCACTTCATGCAGGAATAGTCTGCGTGTGGACAGTTAAGATGCGCTGCCGTTTCACAGCAATGCCAGTACAATGGACAGAGGAGAGAATAGGAAGCAAATAGGAAAAAAAAAATTTGTTCAAGCAAAAAAAAAAAAAAAAAAAAAAAATAAAAAAAAAATTATATATATATATATATATATATATATATATATATATATATATATATATATCACTCACAAAAATCAAAACAAGTGAGGTACATGATCATAAAGGGATAGAACAACAGGTGTGAGACTTCAAATGGGCTTTAGAGTACCCACAGCCTGTTTTTGGGTGTTTGAAAATCTTACCTCTCAAGTCTCCTGCTCCCCTAACATAATTATGGATAACATAAGATCCAAAGCTTCATTCCTACACAACTTTACCCTGTAATATATGAAATAATGTCCCCCAGGTATTGTAGTACTATAATGGACAGGTGGCTATGGCAACACTGATACATAATTAATGTCAAACACCATCAGACAGTTTAAGGAAAAAGGTGTCTTTGTAGCACATTTAATAGAAACACAGATTTGCGTTATACATTTTGACATGTAAATATAACTTGGAGCTTCTTAGCATTTTATCTACACATTTTGTGTCCAACACATCTTTAAAAGAAATAAAGCTTTGAATGCACCTTAAATATTGTATCCAACATATGTATTACACCCATTTGCCAGAATACAATGTGTTCATAAGTGATTGTACAAACCAGCTGAATGCCCAATCTGAATCTTTAAGAAAATATATATACACTCTGTATAGTGTTGTGCAATACAGTATATATTGGCGCCACATAAAATATTATATCTATAGCTCTAAACAAGTTCTACGTCTTAAAATCTAAACACACCATATGAACAATGGATTATTTTAGAGATGCAGCATACAGCAACTGTACACCACACACAAAAAAAAATAAAAAAAAACATAAAAATTAAAAGCAGCCGACATTTGCAAGTATTGTAGGTGTCGCACAAATCTACAAATATATGACATTACTACACTGCATGAGAGGTATAATTCATTTTAACAGCCAGCCACATGGTATTAACGATATGTTGAACAACAGAAAAAAAATTATACAGTATAAATAAACATTTTGTACAGTGGTTATAAAATCTGGTCACTCAAGTTAAAATTTCCAGTATATTAGTTTGTGATGCACTGTATGCAGCAGTAGTCCAGAAAAAAATGCTGTAAGTTAAAAACAAATGGTTTGTAAAACACAAGTTTTTATATATATTATACAAAAATAATTACTATTTGGTTAGGAAGCTTAAAACGAAGAAAAAAAAAAAAAAAAAAAAAAAAAAAAAAAAAACATTCAAAAACGGAATCCATGCATCAGGTATTGTCAGTGCATTTATAAAAACAAAAAAAACAAACAAAAAATTAAAAAACAAAAAACATAACTTCAACAAAAATCTTAATTCATGGTTTTAGTTTGTAGCCTGAGGGAGTTCAATATGTCCTGAGGGGAAATAGGACATCTTGAAAGGAGACAATGTTCAGCAAATAAATACATATCTTGTTCTGTTCCCACAACTGCATTGAGATCACTATTAAAACAAAGCCTGGGGCACTTTGTGATGTCTAAGATTGGTGGGTGGATTATAATTGACTTGAAGACTGTCATAGCACTGTTAAGATAAAACCTGTAACTTGCTTCCAGCGTGGCGGATCCATCTGTGCCCACCATCCATCTGTTTAGACATGATTGGCAAAGTAGTAGGCGACTCCCAGTGGTCGTCTCCGCCTGAAAGGAATAAACCACAGGATCTTCCAGCGACTGCCAAAAACTTCTGAGAAGGTCTGCTGCCATGGTTTTCGAACTTGCGGTCTACAGAAGACAGCATTATTAGTGAAAGACAGCATTCCCATGGTGCATTTCAGTCAGTGTAGACAATACAGGGTTGGCTGGGGATCTATTAGAAGGCTTAAATGAATTGTGTTCCCTAGCATCACAAATGCAGCTTTGCTTTCATTGTGACATGCAGCTGCGATTTAACACCACCTAGCAGGGGCTGAAACTTTATTGTCAATCAACAGAGGGCAACTTCTGAAGTTGTAGACAATCCAGGGATGACAAGAATTCATGTCAGCTAAACAGTGGCAAGTCCTTTCATTCTTCTTTAAACACTGGAAACACCATTTTGTCTTATCGAAAACTCCCCTCATAGGGACAAAAGCAAAAACCTAAAAGATGAAAATGCTGCTTCCAGTTCCTATCAGAAGAGCTCCCTGCAGGAAATTAGTAGAGACAGAGCTGCCAGCATTTTGAAAACCTATGTAATTTTGCTGACAATAACTCAGCATAATAGAAAAATTTAAGTAAACATTACATCAAAATGCATAGCCAGCAGCCATTTCTCTGCAATATGGTTTTCATAGGCTTTGGAAATGCTATCGATTCTATCATCAGCCATTTTATCAGCTCTACTGTGGTTTAAACGAAACTCCCCACAGAACCTTAATTTTCCTAGACACCTGCCTGGAATATCTTAATGGGCTTTGTAGAAGCACCACATAGCTGTTCACACACTTGGTCAAACGTATTTGGAGCACAAATATAAAGACTTTAAGATCCGCAATATTTTCACTTTTCTATTCACACGCTAAATCAACATGAGTAGTGAAAACATTTTTCCATGACCATTAAATCAAGCATTAAAAAAAAAAAAAAAAAGTAAATGGCAAGTTCACCTCACCCCCATATCAGTAAAAAGCATGCACTCCAATGATGTTCTTGTCACAGCTTTAATGTGAAAGAATCGTCACATGTGAAAACAGCTGGCATTTTGGGGCCTCACAGGGTCAGTCATTTTTGGGACCTTGCAAGGCCCCAAAATGTCACTTGTTTTCACATGTGACAATTCTTTCACATTAAAGCTGTGACAAGATCATCACTGGAGTGCATGCTTTTTACGGATATGGGCATGAGGTGAACTTGCAGTTTACTTGAAAAGACCTTTACTGGAATACTGTTGGCTTTCTGTGTTTTTACTGGATCTGACAAGTCTCTATCTGTTCCTGTCATTTTGAGGAACCAACAATCTCCTTTGGTCAAGTGCTACAAGAAGTGCATCCTATATTTGAATCCAAATGTGACTCACCTAAACTCTACAGCCTATAGGGATTTGTACATTAGCAAGCAATCATGTTTTGGCTTTTATTTTCTTTAGAATTGTATTATACAGGATTTATATAAAGCCAACAGTTTATGCAGCTCTTTACAACAGGAATCAGAGAGCCGTGCTTATTAGAGCTTATAATCTAAGATAGACGGTCAAGAGATACAAAAAGTAGTAACTGTGGGGCATGAGCTGATGGAGAAAATAAAAGTGCAGTTGTTAGGTGGGAGCAGGGTAGGCCTCTCTCTGAAGAGAGGGGTTTTCAGGGAGCACCTAAAAGTGGACAGAGTAGGAGATAGTCTGACAGATTGGGGTAGGGAGTTCCAGAGGATGGATGATGATCAGGAGAAGTCCTGGAGGTGAGCATGGGAGGAGGTGACAAGGTAGATACAGAGCAGAAGGTCTTAGGAGGAAAGAAGAGAATGATTAGGTTGGTATTTTGACACTAGGTTAGTGATGTAACTGGGGGCAGAGTTTTGGATGGCTTTGTAAATTGTTAGCACTTTGAATGTAATTTGTTAAGTGAGTGGCAGCCAGTGCGGGGTCTGGCAGAGAAGGGTAGCAGATACTGAGCGATTAGTAAGGTGGAGGAGTCTGGCAGCAGCATTCATGATGGACTGAAGGGGGGATAGCTTATGTAAAAGTAAGCAAATGAGGAATAGAGTTGCAGTAGTCGATTATAAAGGATAACCTTTTTCAGAATAGAAAATCTTTACTAAGCTGGTTAGTCGGTTACTGATCAAGTAGCCTGAGGGTTTCAAGACAAGCTGTGACTGTCCATACAGGTTTAAATGCAGCTATGGGTTCAAGATAGTAGTGGGTTGTCTGCCAACAACCTCACCAGTTTCCACTGAGGAGGACTAGTTGGAGAAGAGCTTAGCATTTCAGTTACAAAAAGGAGAATCTAAAAAGGGACTTACAACCACATCTAGAACAGGCAAGGGAGCTAAGAGTGAGGATTTTTTAGAGAAAGCATACAGTCTGTACTCATAATGGCTGTCTTGCAAGGTTACTTGCAACCTAAATTGTAGGAAACCTGCAGTATAATCAATTGCCTAATATTGTGTTTTGCAACATTTTTTCTCTATTCAACAAAATTTAGAAGCTATGCTTGTTACTGGCAACCAGAACTGACAAAAACACCTCTGTAAGTATGAGAAGTAGCAGATGGGGAATCTAGGTATGGAAGGGTGTTTGATGCTGTGAGTACTAGACCCTTGATAAATTAAACTTGAGTAGTTGCAGATAGAATGCATACAGAATTGACTTTGTTAATGTGCTATTAAGCTCAAAACCAAAAATGTGGTATATTGCAGCTTACCAATCTTTGGATGTGGTAGCTGCACTAGTTTTCTCTTTGTTTTTTTTTCCCCTCTGTTTTCTCCTGGTGGTCCTGGCCAGTAACACACCTCCTGTATTAGTGCGCCCTCAACTCTGGACGAAGTAGCACAGGGGGCACTTTTGGACAGCAGCATTGCCAGTCTGGGGGGAGGGGAGTGTTAGATGGACTAGCTCATCCAAATACAATAACAAAATTGAAGCCAAACACCAGCTCACACTTTATGTTCAGTTACAGTAAAGTTTTTTAAATTGTAGGATAAAGGTTTTACATTAATTTAAAAAAGCTGATTATTGTATGCACCCATGTCACTGGTAAAATGTTTGTCTTATTCCTGTAACTAATACACCTGGAAGAGAGTTTGTTCTTTTGAAAAAAAACAACAGCCTTACTGGCTGGATCACCAGATGAAACAGAAGAAAGCACAAAAAAGAAAACAAATACAGCAATTGCATTTAAGAATTAGCAAGCTGCAATATAATTATTATTATTATTATACAGTATTTATAAAGCGCCGATAGTTCGCTCAGGGCTGTACATTACAAAGGGGGACAGAACATGTTACAGAACAATAACAATACAATGCAAAACATGAGGGGATTGAGGGCCCTGCTCTTTCGAGCTTACAATCTAGGAGGGAGGGGATAGTGGCACAGGAGGAGATAGCTGTGGGGGATGGAGTGGTAGGAAGAGTGGAGGAGGACGGCAAGTTAGCAGGGGGTGGGGTAGGCTTCCCTGAAGAGATTGGTTTTCAGGGTGCGCCTAAAGGAGAGGAGAGTAGGTGATAATCTGATGGGTTGGGGCAGGGAGTTCCAGAGGATGGGTGACACCCTGGAGAAGTCCTGGAGGCGGGCATGGGAGGAGGAGACCATGGAGCTAGAGAGAAGGAGGTCTTGTGAGGAGGAGTGTGCGTGCTGGGTGGTACTTGGATATTAGGTCAGTGATGTAGTTCGGGGCAGTGTGGTGGACGGCTTTGTACGTCAGTGTTAGGATTTTGAATTTGATCCGTCGCGCAATTGGAAGCCAGTGGAGGGATTGGCAGAGGGGGGTGGCGGAGATGGAGCGGTTGGAAAGGTGAATGAGTCTGGCTGCCGTATTCAGGATCGACTGAAGCGGGGATAGCCAGCGGTGAGGCAGGCCAGTAAGGAGGGAGTTACAGTAATCGAGTCGTGATATGATGAGGGAGTGGATGAGCTGTTTAGTGGTTTCTGGGGTTAGGAACGTGCGGATTTTGGAGATGTTGCGGAGGTGGAGTCTGCACGAGTTTGTTAAAGATTGGACTTGGGGCTGGAAGGATAGGTTGGAGCCCAGAATGACACCAAGTACTCTGGCCTGTGGGGCAGGTTTGATGGTGGCGTTGTTGGACATGATGGAGAAGTCAAATGGGAGGTGGTGTCTGGGCTGGGGGGAAGACAAGAAACTTGGTCTTGGAGAGGTTCAGTTTAAGGAAGTAGAGCGACATCCAGTCAGATATGTCGCTCAGTAGGTGTGTGATTCGGGCAGAGACTGAGGGTGTGAGGTGGGGGGTTGAGAGATAGATTTGTGTGTCGTCGGCATATAGGTGGTAGTTGAAGCCGTGAGAGTGTATGAGTTGGCCAAGGGAGGAGGTGTAGATGGAGAAGAGAAGGGGCCCAAGGATGGAGCCTTGAGGGACCCCAACAGAGAGGGGGCGTGAGGGGGAGGTGGTAGCATTATAGGTAACGCTGAAAGAGTGTTGTAACAGGTAGGATGAGAGCCAGGAGAGAGCAGAATCTCTGAGGCCAAGGGAGTGTAGTTTTTTGAGGAGGAGGGGGTGGTTGACTGTGTCGAAGGCCGCAGAAAGGTCAAAGAGTAGGAGCACTGAATAGTGGCCATTAGCTTTGGCGGTTAGCAGGTCGTTGGAGAGTTTGAGTAAGGCAGTTTCGGTGGAGTGTAGGGGACGGAAGCCGGACTGTAGGGGGTCGAGGAGGTTGTTGTCGTTGAGGTGAGACCATAGGCGGGTGTAGACTAGGCGCTTGAGGAGTTTGGATGTAAATGGGCGCAGGGAGATGGGTCTGAGGTTGTTTGGGTTATTGGGGTCCAGGGAGGGCTTTTTAAGTATGGGGGTGATGTGTGCATGTTTCAGAGGGGAGGGGAAAGTGCCGGAGGAGAGGGAGAGATTAAAGATGTGGGTGAGGGAGCGTAGGATGGAGGGGGAGGGAGGTCGTAGGAGTTGTGAGGGGATAGGGTCAATGGGGCAGGTGGTGAGGCGGGCATCAGAGAGGATCTTGGAGACTTCCTCGATGGTAGTAAGGTCAAAGGTGTGAAGTATAATAAATGTTTGCTTTTGGGTTACATACCACTTTAATTTTAATGTTTTGCCAAGGCCTCTGTAAATTAAAGAGGAATTCCAAATATGGATATTTTTACATTGGTCCAGCTTGGAACCTATGGGATGCGTGTGAGAAGCTGGAAATCACTGTAGCAGATAGTTTCACTCCAGTGATCTCCAAACTCTTCTGGGTCTCATGCAGTTACCCTGCTGCACTGTGAACACAGGTGGTAAGCTGCTGGGCACAGGCACCATTCAGAAAATGCTTTGCATTTTCTCAATGAATGCAAGGCTTTCTCTGACTGGATGAGATAGAAAGCATGATGTCACTGCTCTGCCTCTCCACTTCATCCAATCAGAGCATGCTTTGCATTCATTGAGAAAAAGTAGTGATCTTTGAATGGCGCCAATGCCAAGCAGGCAACCTTCTGTAATCACAATGCAGCAGGGTAGCAACTTGGCACAGTACCCCAGAAGCTAGTAGAGTAGCGGTGCTTACAACAGTGATTTCCAGATTCTAGAAGGATCTCACAGGTATGGTATATGCATACTTGAATAATCTATGTAAAAGCATCCATGCCAGGAATTCTTGCAGCTTACAGTGTTAATAACCTGTTCAACATATAGGGATAACATATGATGAAAACATTCTATTACTTACACTTGATCACAGCAATTGGTCATTTTTTCTATAGTGGTCAAATCCTAAAAGAAAAGAAAAAAAAAATGAACATTGGAGTGGGTGGTACCTGTGTCTTATAGCTTATATGGTAAATCAGTGGTTTATATAAATGGAAATGGTAGTTGATTCCATGATGTTCTGAGGTCACTAAAATGTAACAGAAAATATATATATTTACCTAAAATTAGTCTAAATGAACAAGCACTACATACAGGAAAAAAAATTAAGCACACCCAAATGCAGTTTCAGCTTATCACAATTCACATTTTTAAATAATTACAGTAAATCTGTATTGGTTTAAAAGTAGAAGTAGAAAGCTAAAAACAGGATTTTTTGTACTCACCGTAAAATCCCTCTCTCTGGGTTAATTGATGAACACAGCATCTCCTTTTACAAAGTAGGGTTTTACATCCCCACCTAAAGAAGTAGGACACTAAAGTTTCACCACATTCACCAAGTTATTTATTTTTTCTATTATTATTGTCCAGTTATCAATAATATAGTGACCCTACAATGGTTTTATAAGACCTTTTAAAGACCTCAAAAGTAATACTAAAGAGAAAACTTTAGATAGATAGGAGAGGGCTTAGCACACCTGTCAGTTTTTATTGCTGCCTGTGCCCCTGTTCGGGAGATTCACCCTCTCTGTTTGTCCTGTTTGCCATTATCATCAAAAGTGAAAGCAAAAGTAAATCCCAAATTTTGAGTTGACACCAGAACAATAAGAGGATAAATCTTCAATGGGGGCACTAGTTCTGGTGACACTCTAGGATTCCCTCACTTTGGAGGGATTTCCTCCCACTTCCTGTTTTGGCTATGGGAGAAGAAGTGGCGGGAAATCTCAATGAGGCACAAAAAAAAAAAAGAAAAAAAAAAAAAAAAACACCTGACAGGATTGTAACCCTCCTTTACCCTAGACCAAGAGAAAAGTTTCTCTATCCATTGACGGACACAGCATCGCCTTCTTATCTAAAGAAAAAGTCGAGTTTTATAGCCGCACCTACAGCAGTAGGACATTAGGCATAAAAAACCGACTTGGCACCTCCTATGGGCAGTCCTCTCCGGGAATAAAACCCCCTCTCTGCTATAGGCCTGCAGTCACAAGCAGGGTCAAAGGAGAAATCTCCCTAGAGGGGTGGGTGCTGTGTCCATCAATTAACCCAGAGAAAGGAATTTTACGGGGAGTACAAAGAAAATCCATAAAGTAGGGATGTCCACAAGCAGTGCCATAATGAGCGGTGGGCAAACCAATCAATGGAGAAATAAAAAACCCAGGGAAACAAGCCAACACTCCGAAGGACCCCAAAAGAGTGCCCAAGAAACCCAAACAGCCACCTGCAAAACTTTGGAGGCCAAAACTAGCATCAGAAGATGCCAACACATCAACCCAATAGAACTTAGTAAACATGTGCAAAGACGACCAGGTCACCACTTTGCAAACTTGAGAAACAGACACCTGATGTTAGAGCACCCAGGAAGCGCTAACTGCCCTAGTGTAGAGTGCGGTAACCGGGAAGGGAGGTTCCCACCCCTTAATGGTATAGGCCTGTAGAATTGTCTGTCAAATCCAAATGGAAAATAGTAGCAGAAGAGGCTGCCAGGCCCTTCTTCAGACCATCCGCCAGAACGAAGAAAGAATCGAGCCTCTGAAATGCAGCTGTTACCAAAAGGTACACACCAATCGCATCCACATCCAGGTAGTGCAGGGTCACCTCTTTAGGGTGCGTTGGACAATATCCTTATTAAAATGAAATGAAAATCTGACACCACCTTTGGTAGAAAAGAAGGGGGAGGTCGAAGTACTACCATATCTATGTGCAAACCATATAAGGCAGCTTACAGGACAAAGACGCCAATTCCGACACCCTCCGTGCAGAAGTAATAGTGACAAGGAAGGCAACTTTTTGTTAAAGTGAAAGCAGGGGTATATCCCAAATGCTCTCAAAGGGAGGCTTCTAAAGAACAGACAGCACCAAATTCAAATCCCACGGTGGCAAAAGGTAGCGCACAGAAGCGACCCATGACAAACCCCCTGAATGAAAGTGCGAACCAAACAATGCGTAGCCATGGGTCGCTGAAAGAAAACAGAGAGCAGACATTTGACCCCTGATTGTACTCAATACAAGCTTCTGATCCACACCACGTTGGAGGAAGGCCAACACCTGAGCCACAACGAAGGAACGAGGATGGAACCCCAAGGCTTCACACCAACCAATATAGGCTCTACATGTGTGATGATAAATCTTCTAGGAGGTAGACTTAAGGGCCTTTAACATAGTTGAGATCACTGAGCCAGAAAACCCCCTGCAATTCAGAACCTGGCTCTCAATAGCCACACCATCAAAGCCAGCGACGGTAAAGCAGGGTGAAATATCAGCTCCTTGAGACAAACGTACCACGGACAACGAGACCAGTCTGGAGCCACGAGGATGACCCGGGTCCCTTCAGACTCTATTCTGCGTAGTAGATGAGAAATTAGGCAAAGGCGTAGATAAGAGTGTACAGATCCCACGGCGTCACTAGCGTATCCGTCACGTCCACCAAGGGATCCAACGATCTTGTCACAAACCGTGGAACCTTCCGATTGAGACGGAAAGCCAGGCATATGTTATGACCACCGACCAGCGAACGTGAAGGAAGGATTTCCCAGTCTGTAAGCCAGAGACCTCATCCACCAAAAGAAGGGAGGCCCTCGTCAACCACTCCAGGTGCATCTGAATGTCCAAGGAGACGGAAGCCCTGTTCCATTTTGATAGGATTTTCCTGTGCAGAATTCTCGTACAAAATTGAGCATATGGAACCGCTTCGAAGGTAACCATCAGGTCTAACACTGACAAGCAAGAACACAGGGATAACTGCCTGTAAGCCAAGAACTGCCAGACTGCCGACCAGAGCTGCAAAAGTTTTTTTTTTTTTAAAGAATAGAGGATGAGCCCCAGATACTTCAGATGCTTGGCCAGGGTCAACACCGACTTCCTGAGGTTCAGGATCCACTCAAAGTCCCGTAGAGAACGCATGGCGATTTCCACACTATCTAGTAAGGACTTGCAAGTCTCAGCACGCAGGAGCAAATCACCACGATCCCCCGTTGTCTCAGCAAGGCCAAGACATGGGCTAGGTCCTTGGTAAACACCCAGGATGCGTAAGCTAGACCAAAGGAGAGTGCAACAATTGGTAATGCGTGTCTCCAATGGTAAAAACGTAGGAAGCGCAGATGCCCCTCGCAAATGGGGATTTGTAAGTAAGCGTCCTTGATGTCCAAAGAGGGCCAGGAAACTCCTTGATGGAGGAGTTTAAAGAGAAGTGGAGCTGCATCAAGGGAGAAATCGCAAGTGTACTTCAATCCCTGGACCAAGTGATCCGTCAGTTACACATACACTTGGGGCAACTGACTAGAGGTTAAGGCTTGTCGCAGAGCCTAAGCCCATTCAGTCAGTGTCTGGGAAACCAAGGTCGTAGCAAACATCTAGGATAGTGAACATAGAACGGGCTACCTCCTCCACCTTGCAGGATCCTTAAAAGAGGAAGATTCCTCCACCGGGATCAACGTGGCCATGTTAAGCCTGGAGATGGGAGGATCTACCAACAGCAGGGAGGTCCACTTCTTCAGCAGGGCATCCTCAAAAGAGCAACGCATTGTGAAGCAAACAAATTGATCGGCCGACTCCAATCCTTTTAGACAAATTAGACAAAATGCTTCGGGTAAGGAAAAAAAACCTTGGTAGCCCGAGCCGGCTTGGGCATACCAAGGAGACAGGCACATCAGCCACCCTCGAAGTGCAAGTCCTCAATATTTAGCATTTCACGCACCGAAGCAGTAAGTGCCCCTACCAATGCCTTTTCCTGTGCGGCTAGAGAGGCAGAGGACCCGTAACGCTCATCTGAGGAATCAGGGGATGCGTCATGATCCACGGCGGCCGGCTCGGTCTCTGAACCGTCCGAGAGGGAAAGGGAGAGGGAGAAAGCTCACAACCAGCAGGAGCTGCAAAGGTGCCCACATGCACAAAAGATGATCCAAAAACTGCCCCAAGCCCAAGGTGCAAAGGGATGTGCCTGCCGCTGGCTATGAGAAAATGGCCTCCAAGGACCTCCCCCAGCCAGCCTCCATCACCTGAGCTTCTCAGAAACCAACAAAATGGCCGCCGCCCCAGACACAGAACACCAGAAAAATGGTCGTCGCAGCTACAGCATCATGGCCGCAGTCACATGGTAACGTGCCCCAACTTTAGGTAGGCCTGACAAACAGCATGGGCAACCCCCCACAGCAGAGCAAAGCCCCCCCAGAGGAAAGCCCCCCCAGCCCGAAGTTTGCCCAGACTGCACCGCAGGGAGGGGAGGGGAGGCAGGCTGAGAAGGGGCCAGACACTACGAGGGCCTGGTTAACATACAGGCACCTGGACCAAGCCAACACCATCATTGTGACTGGCAGCGACCCCCCTGCCAGGTCATCTAGGGTGTTGCTGCATGAGGAGGAGTGGGTCGGGGGAGGGTGAGAGGGAACCCCGTAGGACTGACCAGAGAGCACCCACGCCCCACACCGCACCCAGGGAAGGAGGGGGGGGGCACTACTTAGCAATCCAGCCCAGCTGGCGGGTGAAGCTCCCGTGACAGATCCTCCACTCCACCAAACTGGGGGATTGTCAGCCAGGGGTACACTGTGACAGTGTGAGACATTTAACTCGTTGGCCGCCCCAGTACGTGGGGCATAGTCGTGGCTGACCAAGCGCAGAACTGGCGGTCTGCGTGCGCTTGCTGGTCAGACTGGGATGACCACTGGATCTAGATTATCCAGCCTGTAGCCCAGCCCGACTATTGATAGAAGATCTCAGCAGGAACACAAAATTCCAGGAAACATAAAAAGGTGGGGGGGGGGGGGAACAAAAATAAAAGAAAGGTTGTGGGACCACAAGCCCCAGCAAAACTTCACGTCTGTACTCCTGAGACACTAGGCAGAAAAGCATGGAGGCCTATAGCAGAGAGGGGGTTTTATACCCAGAGAGGACTGCCCATAGGATGTGCCAAA